TCCTGCCAAAGCATACAGCTAGGCCATATGATTTGCCTACTCACCAATTTCTAGTGGGGCTTCTACTCTAACTGACCGTCTGCACGGTTCCTCTAACACCAACCGACTGTTCTAACACTGCTGTCCTACAACGGAGCTGCTTCTCCTACCACGGCAGCAGCAACCGTTCCCCCGCCATCGCAGGCCTCTCAACGACTGAAATACAATCTGGAAGTCAAGTATCAGAGAAAACAGTCAAAAACCTACACCTTAAAAGAAATTTCAGCTTTTCAGGATGTCTCACGTACACACAGAAAAACCAACGTTCTGGAAAGCAAAAATGAAACAGAACAAAAACAACACTGGCAATTTGTAGAAGCATAGGTAAACTGAGCTATCCGGCTGACGTAGAAATCCCCTGAGTTGACCATTAAAGACGTTCAGTCTTTGTGACAAAGATCACAGGAACAAATAAGGCATTGATTTATACCATCAGGTTATACTAGCTGTCACAATATTTACTGAGACAAACTTTTATCATGCAATAACAAAACAAAACCATTTACAATCCAAAAAGCAGTAACCAGCTACTTTCACGTAATCCAAGAAGGCAGCCTCACCAGTCCTTTAAACTAAGGATTCTGGATTTAAATATTAAGTTACCATTTGTACACTGTGGTTGATTGGGTGGCTGTGAAACATTGCTCTCCATTTCAACAGTTACTCATACCTTCTTTACCAGCCACTTGCATCAGCCAGACATATGTACTGTGTTAGTGTTGACTGTGCTACAGAGCTGGGCCTACCCAGTTCCTCATGGAAATCTTTCTTCTAGAGGTTTCCAGTTCATGTTTAAGGAGTTGGAGGAATCTTTTTATAAGCTCAACTTTCATTCCAGACAACATCGCAAGAAGTAGTAACTGGATCTCAGATGTAAAAGCATCTCTCGCTGAGTATAATTAGATAACCGGCACAGCAGACTACTCGTTTCCTTCTCCGGAGGAGAAGCAGCAGCCACGGTGGGGTTGGTCGTTGTCACACCTTCTGCTCAGTATTTATTAATGCCAAAGACTCTGACACCATGCAACTGCGGCAGCTTGGGGATGAGCACTGTCAGGAGAGAGGCTGTGTTGAGGATGAAGTGTGTCGGGTCATACTTTGTGTAGAAACTTGCCAGGAAGTACCTGCAAGAAAAGAGGAAGCAAGCTTAGCTGGTGACAGCCTCATCTTCAAACAAACAAACAAACAAAGCACAGTTTAAAAAGGGGCTCAGTTAATCAGAAATATTTTACTCATGTATTCCTGTACTACAAATCTCACTTTAGATTCTAGGTTTTACAGCAAAGCGGTGGGCCAAGTATCTTCCTCCCATGCTTGTCACGGTGCTAAAAAGTAACTCTCAGCTGGTATTTTCCTCCAACGTTTCTCCCCTCCAACTTGGGAGTCTCTAAATTCTTAAGTTACAAGCCTAGTTTGTGACACAAGTTTTAAATGGTGTAAGACCCATTAGTGCCATATATGCACCGCAGCTACCCTGTGACAGAAGTTCAGTGACAAAACATTTGGCATTTTTCAATGCAAAGGTCATTTATGCTCAGCACATCTGTAATCAGCGTCATCTTAAAATGCTTCCAGTCTAGCAGATATTTCCAGGACAATTTTCTTTTAAACTAGTCCATAACCTGGGAGAATAAGGGAACATGTGCCAGAATCCAGTTCACATTCAAATTTCTTACACTTCAAACCAATAATCCCATCTCATTCTTTGCAAAAGCTAGTCAGAGAAGTAAGATTGCCACATTGGTTTTTTCGCAGCAAAAAGAAAATGTTTGTTCAGCTTCTTGCCCATTACTGGTGAATGCACAGAACCGTATACATGCGTTATGATTATAAAAATCCCACTGGGAAGTGGGAAGCTGTCTCTAAAGAAAGATCTTTTTGGAGAGGTTTTTTTTTTTTTTTTCCCCCCAGTTTCTGTCCTTTGTGAAACTACCTTCTAAACTTGCTGATGCAGGATCTTCTCTTTCTCCCCCTTCCCAGGCATGCAAATGGACAGCTTAAAGGAAAAACAGCATGGCTTTTTAGAATTGGGTATGAAATACTTATCTGACTTCCTGTAGTTACACAACGCTATTTTTGTCAAGAGACATGAGGTGTAGAATTTCAACCAGTGTTCTGTTTACATACCTCCTGCAAACAGGAGGCAACCTGTACAAAGTAAAACTGCCAGGCGATATCATGGAGGATCCCGTTCACTGAGCACTGCCACATTCCTCATAGCTCGCAAGATGCAAAATGGTTAATAAATGCCATAAAGTAACGTCCATGTGACTAAGGGTATTTAGCTAAGATTTTCAATGTTTACGACTTCTCAGTTTCTTAAAAAAACATCAGGAATTAATAGCAAATTTTCCTTGTAAGGTTTCTAATCTCTAAAACCTGTCCCATTAATAACGGTTTACAAACTTTGACTTCAGTATTTGAATTAGTGTTGAAAGCTACATGAGGAAAGATTGTGGATGGTATAGCCTGTAAATATGTACTCCCTGAGTCTCTGATGTAGAAACAAACAAACAAACAAAAATCAAGAGAGAAAAGTACTTTTTAAAAGTAAAGCGTAACTCGTTTAATTGCAGCAGCTGAAATCCTGGTTTGTCAGATTCAGTTCATGCATGCTATAGTTTAGAACTCACAGTATTATAGGAGAGATTGTGAAGAATTTTCTCGAAGATGTAAATTGTACTCCATAATCCAGTTGCTCCCAGTGTGTCAGTAGCCTAGCTTTCCCCTGATCAGGTGTTTCAAAAGGTGTTCCCTTAACTGCATGCAAAAACACATACATTCCCTGGGGAAAATAAAGAGCAATTATAGTGGCTTTATAATTATTGTCATTATTTACATTTTATATAAATTTATATGCATTGTTCAAGGTATTGTTTAAAACAAAAACCTTCACCTAGAGGAGCTGCTAACCTGAACTGACAAATTAGAGAGGAGGAAGGAAGAGAGAAGTGGTTTGCCCAAGGTTACACAGCCAGTGGCATAGCCAGAGTTAGAACCAAAGTCTATGCGACATCCAGTCCAGTTCCTTGTCCTCTACATGAGATGGCAAAGACTGAATGAAATCAATCAAATTTTTTTTAAGCACTCTAACAAGTTTAGGGCTGCCAAGTTAATTTTACTGCTTCCCTATCACAGCAGTAAACTGCATGATGTAGAGCCTGCGCAAAGTACAAATCTATACACCATCTACTCTCTAAAATCTATCTATACATTGGCAATATTCCAGGGAGAAATTCTGAAAGCTCTCTCAACCCACTAGTAGCTTCAAATGCTTAGAGGCTACTATCTGTTGAATACTATCTGTCCATCTCCTTTACCACACTGGACTGCTTTTTGTTTTTGTTTTCGGTTGATGGACCCAAGCCATGTCTAATCTGCTCTGAAATATAAATTTGACCCCGTTGAATTCAGATAGAGGAGTCTGCTCTTTTCCAGTTTTCACAAACATTTTTTCTCTATCTATCAGATACGCAAGAGTCTAGCAGCAAAGATTTCAGTTTTCTTTGTTTCAAGTGCATTTATTTCTTACAACACATACATAAATTACTAGAGAAAACTTCATATAGAACCATCACACGTTTTCTACAGTTCTTACAAAGGAGGAGAAGGTTAAGCAAGTCACTTCAAGTCTTCTTCCACTTTATTAGGACTTACTAGTCACTCCTTGACTGGTGGCACATTACCATGGATAAGAGAATTAATTCGCTTAACTAATTCTTTGATTCGTGATGCTTGCTCCATCTCAGTTTTAATAACCCACTCAAACAGACATTTTATTTTTGTCACTTTTTAGGATGAAACCAAATGCTTACTACCTGTTTCATTCTGCATGGGTACTTGCAATAAGGTCAAACAAGAGTGCTTTCGAGGGCAGCTAAAAGTTATCCAATAGAGGAAAGCTAAGATTTTATCTTTTTTTTGTCAAACCATTCAAGGTTATGTTTCAAAACAGGTTCTGTTTAAATACTGACATATCCAAAGTACAGTTCATACCCATCTTCTATTGCTCCATTGGGAAAGTACTTGCCAGCGCTTGTTTTCACCCCTGTTGCTATCTGTAGCTACTTGCAAAGAATTCATTAAGGTATTTGTGAAATATTTAGTAATTCCCATGTCTGCCAATATCTTCCAAAGTTCAGGCATGTTTGATGCTCTCAGAAAGAACATATGAAATGCTATAATAATACTTACAAGCTCACTACTAGTTTTACACCGAGCTAGAAAAATAAAGAGTACTTGAAGAAAAAACAGGAGCTTGACAAGCTTATAGAGGACATCACCTAACCTCTGTCTTTAAGGTGACTATCGTCTTCCTAAATAGGGAAGAGGCTACCTTTTTGTCAAGGCCTCTTTGTTGTTAATCTTAGAAAGCTCAGTTGGACTCTCTCAAGTATGACGTATATTGCTGGATTATGGCCCTCTTTTCTTTGAACTTGGCAGGACCAATATTCCGACTTGCATTAGTTTAAATGATCACCAGAGAATTACAGCATCCTGGGGAGAGGAGGGGGAAAGACTTTCAAGGTCTTTAGCTTCCAAATCATTTTGCATGCAAAGGATACCACGCACATCAGAATCCACAGAATAACAAATGGCTCCAGAGCTTGGGTCAGTGTGGTCCAGTTTTTCCCCCTCACTGCTTCCAAATAAGATTTGTATTATGTCACGTATAGTGACAGAGCTGTATGTTGAAGTAATTCTGAGCTAAAACTTACCTAGCTTAACCAAAAATTAAAATAAGAAGAAGAACACGGACGTTTCCATCCAAAAAATAGGTGCCTCAAGTACTAAATTTCACAGTTTTGGGACACTAACAGATTTGTGCAGAAGCCTGCGCAGAAAACATCCGAGAATTACAAAGGTAGTATCTCCAGATTCAGCACAGCTCTCTGTACCGGGAGTGGTATATCTCCTTACAAACAGGACAAAGCACTGTAGGAGTCAGTTGGCTTGCTGATTTGTGTGTTTGTAAGAGTCTAGCTTCACTAAATGCTTTTAAGTAGAGTAGCAGAATACAAAAGGAGTCTTTCATGACTTTTGCACGGAAGCCCAAAGCGATAACCTATCACTCCTCCTCTCAAAAACACCCAACCCATTTAACAGCGGATAAGCCAATCAGGGAAGGTGTTTTGGCTGCCTAGATTTCATTATCTCTACAGCCTAGCTATATTTCTCTTCTGCCACTTCTAAAAATCGATCAACAACTTCTTTAAAACGCTGTTATACGACAGGATGCTCACCAGATTGTGAATCACATTCGTTAAAGTCCATGCAACAGGGACACTAAAGAAAGGGACGCTGAGCAAGACAATGTGCAGCACGCCGACCCCGAGCGCGTATGTCAGCCACATTCCTCGGCTGTTCATCACCCGCGTGTTTGGGTTCACCTCGCTGTGCGCAACGCCGACGTTCATTTTTGCCCTACAAAACAGAACCGTCTGGAGGTTAGGACTTTGCAATATGGAGGTACTTAATAAAGCTTAGATTTAGAAGCTGAAGTAGCAAAGCTTTGTTTCCTACAGATTTGCGACCTTTTGCCTCTACATTTCTTTCTACTTCTGCTGCAATATCCACAGTTCTTTCCCGCTTCCATTTCAGGCTACTTTCCCTCCTGCCCTTCCCTCATGTTATAGCTAATCTGTAATGCTTCACCCACCGATCACCCAGCTACCTACTGCCAGAAATAAGGAATAAGGACCAGTTTCTGCCTGCTTTTCTTGCCGCAGAAGCACAGATTTCAGATTTCCCACCTCTCCCCAGCTGCTAGTTTTCTGCAGCCTTCGGGAACACTTAACCTTTGGCGCTGCTGCCTTTCGAGGCCGGCTGAACTCAGCCGCCGGGTCGGGGCGTCAGGCACCGGCACACGCTGACCGACACACGCGGCGCCAGCGCACGACCCGGCCCTACAGAATTCACAGCAGGCGGCTCCTGCTCGTGGCCGCG